GGCGGGCGGGCACCGCGGCCCGGCCCGGGAGGGGGCGTCGCGGTCTCTGCAGAGAGAAATAGGGCGCGCGGGCCGACGGTCCTGAAGAAGAAAAGCAAAAATAGGCCCGAGACGGCTCCCTGGGCGGCCCCGGGGCGGCTTCCTAGCCACGGAGCGCCCGCCCCGCTCAGATGGGCGGCGCGGGTCTCGGCCGCCGTCCCCAACGCCCCAGCCACCTCGCGAGGCCGCGACAGTCGCCTCGGGAGCAGAGGACCAGCTGGGGCCCCTGCCCGGGCCGAGACATAACAACTGACGTCGGCGGCGGGGCGGGGCCTCGGGCGGGGCCGGGGCGGGGCCAAGAGGGAGCGCTCGACGCGGCCGCTTAGGGGAAAAGTGGGTGCGGAGGGGGAAGGAGGCGGCTAAGCCAGGGGGCTGGAAAGCAGTGCGGCGCCCCAACCTTGGCTGGGTTTCGGAACAGCTCCCAAAGTTGCTTCTCCGGTGTCTTCTCCGCTGTTTTTCCTTTTGCCCTGAAGATGTTTAGTACATGATTTTGGCTAAGGGTTGGACTTTGGACTGTCACTTTCTGTGTATTTTTCGTACAAATAGGGCAGTTAATGATCCTCTTAAAATCGGTAAAACTAGATGAGTACGTTTATAGTAGGTTCTGGTGAATTGGAAAAATTTGGGCACTCGTTTGAGCGGGTAGAAAACAATGATTTTCCGTTTCTCGGTGAGAATGTAGTTTGTGCACAACGTGTATTGGAGGAGGTTTGGCCGAAACAGGAGTTAGAACTAGGCCCACTTGTCCCGCCTGTTATAATTTTTCCTCCCCCTCTTCAGTGTTAGGGGTGTTAAAAGCCAGGTATTGAGGCGGTGAGTTTCCAGGACAAAGGTTGCTAAGTATTGATATGTCCCTGTACAAAGTTTACATGTCTTTTCTTTTGTTACCCTCCCTGAGTGTGGCCAGTGCCAGCAACAGGAAGATACATAAAGTGAGTAATGTGGGTGACTATGCACTATCCAGTTTTGCATTTAACCTCAGTGGAGCATACTCTTTCTGCCGAACTCTGCCAGTCGTGAGGGAGAAAAGGGTTGCATAATTAAACTGAGGAGGCTGGCTTCTACCAGCTCCCTTGATGAGGAAGGAAAAGACCCAGGAATTATAAGAGAAACGTTAGTCATTGTGCAAAGCTGTCAAATGTCCTGAACTGGGGGTGGGGG